TAGAGCTTCTCCATCTTTGGCTGCCAAGAATATAATCAATCTGATTTCGATGTCGACCATCTGGTGAAGTCCATGTGTAGAGTCTTCTCATGTGTTGCCTGAAGAGGGTGTTTGATATGACCAGTTCGTTCTCTTGGTAGAACTCTATTAGCCTTTGCCCTGTTTCATGCTGTACTCCAAGGCCAAATTTGCCTGTTACTCTAGGTGTTTCTTGACTTCCTACTTTTCCATTCCAGTCCCCTATAATGAAAAGACATCTTTTTTGGGTTTTAGTTTTAAAAGGTCTTGTAGGTCTTCATAGAACTGTTTAACTTCAGCTTCTTCAGCATTACTGGTCGGGGCATATACTTGGATTACCATGATATTCAATGGTTTGCCTTGCAAACGAACAGAGATCATTCTGTCATTTTTGAGATTGCATCCAAGTACTGCATTTCAGACTCTTTTGTTGATTATGATGGCTACTCCATTTCTTCTAAGGGACTCCTGCCCACAGTAGTAGATATAATGGTCATCAGATGAAAATAGGCTAAAGTAAAAATGTCTTTAATATGTAAAATTGTAGCTTTCAGTTTCTGAAATACAGGTTAAAAATTTGTTAGTTTCATTCACCTGTCTAATGGGAGGAGGGAAGAGGCAACAGTTCTCTTGGGATTAAACAGTGGGTTTGAAAGCCAGCCCTTAATTGCACACTTTCATCCTGTTCCATGGCCTTTTACTCAGATGTGTGAATTTGGCCATGATGACTATAATGCAGCCTCAAAAGTGGAGCTGCCATAGGAGGTGAGTGTCCTCTTCCATCCATTTGTGAGTTGAGCTGCTCAGCTGGGGGTTGTGAACATCTAGTAGATGATTAAATAATACAAGATTAAAGAAATACCAGAGCAATTGATAGTCACTCTTAAAGAAGGGACTTGGTCAGTGACCTTGGCTTTTTAGGAACATGCTCTCCGTGAGAGTAACATAGATCTTTCTCTCTGTTTTATGGTCAGGGATTGTCTTTGTCTTTGCTCTCAGGACTTGCACTCTTCTGCTCTGATAGGGCCAACAACACCCCACCCCCTCCATATGTATATCCTGGGCATGATATTTATGGGATAATCAAATTTTTGTGGTTGTTCAATCTCTAAGTAATGTCTGACTCTTTGCAACCTCATGGATTGCAGCACACCAGGCTCCTCTGTCCTCCACTATCTCCCAGAGTTTGCTCAAATTCATGTCTATTGAGTCAGTGATGCTATCTAACTATCTCATTCTCTGCTGCCCCCTTCTCCTTTTGCCTTCAGTCTTCCCCAGCATCAGGGTCTTTTCCAAGTGAGTTGGTTTTTTGCATCAGGAGGCCAAGGTATTGGAGCTTTGGCTTCAGCATCAGTCCTTCCAATGAATATTCAGGGTTGTTTTCCTTTAGGATTGACTGCTTTGATCTCCTTGCAGTCCAAGGGACTCTCAAGAGTCTTCTCCAGTACCACAATTCAAAGACATCAATTCTTTGCTGCTCAACCTTCTTTATGATCCATCTCTCACAGTGACTACTGGAAAAAACCAAAGTTTTGGCTAAATGGACCTTTGTTGGCAATGTGATGTCTTTGGTTTTTAATACACTGTCTAGATTTCTCCTAGCTTTCCTTCCAAGGAGCAAGTGTCTTTCAATTTCATGGCTGCACTCACCATCCACAGTGATTTTGGAGTCCAAGAAAATAAAGTATCTCACTGTTTCCATTGTTTCCCCATTTATTTGCCATGAAGTATTGGGACTGTATGCCATGATCTGTGTGTGTTTTTTATGTTGAGTTTTAAGTCAGCTTTTTCAATCTTCTATTTCACCTTCATCAAGAGGCTCTTTAGTTCCTCTTCACCTTTGCCATTAGAGTGGTATCATTTGCATATATGAGGTTGTTGATATTTCTCCTAGCAATCTTGATTCCAGCTTGTGATTCCTCTTGATTCCAGCTTGTGATTCATCTAGTCCTGCATTTTGCATTATGTACTCTGCATATAAGTTAAATAAGCAGGATGACAATATACAGCCTTGTCATACTCCTTTTCCAATTTGAAACAAGTCAGTTGTCCTATTGTAAGGTTCTAACTGTTCTTTCTTGACCCACATACAGATTTCTCAGGAGACAGGTAAGGTGGTCTGGTATTCCTATCTCTTAAAGAATTTTCCACTGTTTGTTGTGATCCACACAGTCAAAGTCTTTAGCATAGTCAGTGAGGCATAAGTAAATGTTTTCCTGGAATTTTCTTTCTTTCTTTATGATCCAATGGATGTTGGCAATTTGATCTCTGGTTCCTCTGCTTTTTCTAAACCCAGGTTGCACATCTAGAAGTTCTTGGTTCACATACTACTGAAGCCTAGCTTGAAGGATTTTGAGCATAACCTTACTAGTGTGCGAAATGAGTACAATTGTATGGTAGTCTGAACATTCCTTGGCATTGTGCTTCTTTGGGATTGGAATGAAAACTGACTTTTTCCAGTCCCATGGCCATTGTTGAGTTTTCCAAATTTGTTGACATACTGAGTGTAGCACTTTAACAGGATGATCAGATAGAACCACCAAACAAGTATGCAGTCTATCAATAGGGTCTGCTTGGAAAGTCTTTCTTTAAATAGACATAACAGCCATAAACTTCAGGAAACAGGCTAGTGATGATTATAAAATTTACTATTGAAAGTATCTATTATTTTCCTGAGAGATGACCTCTCTTATCCCAGTTGGGCTGATCACATTTCCATAGTTAACATTTCACTATGGCCTGTGTTTTGCTCAGGGTCTCTTAACTTGCTGAGAGCTGAAGTCTGTCAGCTGGGAGCTCTTTTGGGGAATTTGATTTTATTAATACTTTACGGTTAGTGGCTTTTAATTAATGTTACATGAAAATGGGCTTCTAAAAGCGTTACAGAGGACTTGTCACTGGGGTGTCAAAATAATTTACAGTGATTAATAAGCTTTAAATGACCATCACCAGAAATCATTTGAATTCCATTTTGACAGTAAGGCTTTGCCAGGAAGATGTTTATAATTTTTTTTTAAAAAAATGGGTCCTTGGGAAAAATTTCTATCTGATCTTACTAGTAAGAAATGTAACATTTCTCCTGACAAGGAGTATGTCCTTAGTGGGGTGGGGGGGGGTGGCTGTTAGATCAACATGCAAGAGCTATGTTGGTGGCCTGCCCTGTGCTATTATGGGATGCCTAAGCCAGGTTTATTTATTCATCACTTTTTCCTTCTACCCACCCTGCTCAAAACACACACACACACACACACACTCACACTTCTATTCTGGAGAAAGGTGGAGTATAAACAAATAAAAGCTAACATTTACAGAGAGCTTGTTACGTGTCAGATGGTGCGGTATTTATAGGCAGTATCTCATTTAAATCTTATAGTAACTCCCTGAGGTCTTACTATTCTCCCCATTTAATGGATAAATATACCAAGGCTTACAGTGATTAATGACTTTTCAAGATCCTCAGCCAGGAAGTGGCAGAGTAGGATTTAAATAAGGCCATTTTCAGAACTCAGAACCAGTCTATTATAATTTTTCATGGATAAGCAGGTGAGATGTCAAACCCCTGCTCACCTGTGGGCAGGCCTGGAACTCAGGGTGGGTCTTCACCTTTACAAGGAAATAGGGCAGGTCAGAGGACCAGAGCAGAGGCTCTGTGACGCATACTAGGCACACTCAATGGAGGGAGAGGCTACATCACAGTGGCTACCATGGTACCCAGGGCCAGCGGGTGCCCCCTCCTACCTGGGTCTGCTAGCCAAGCAGCTTCAAGGGGGATGCTAGCTGCTGGCAGAGGGTTTTATTGAGAAAAGATAGAGGCTTGACTCCACTAAATTTCATAAGAATTGTTCAACATGTTTACTATAATGGTCTCCTTTCCATATTTTTATATAGTGCATTAAAAATGAGCCCGAAGAGTTGCCTAGAAGACTTGAGTCAGTCCTGGATCATCCAGTGCCAGATTTTAGCTCAGCCTGTTCTGTCCCAACTCTAAGCCCTCCCTTGGGGAGCTTGGCCCCTCTCCCACCTTCACTGTGAGTTCTTTTCTCTCTAAGGAATACAAACTTCTTTGCTGGAGACCTGGAGCATAACTAGGACACTGAGTGATCACGTGGCCCTGAGCCGGCTACTTTTATCAGGCAGCTTCCAGGTTCAGGCACCGTGTGTGGTTTGCGCATTCAGCATCTGGTATATCCCTCACAGCAACCTGTTTCTCCTGTATTGGCTTCTCCTGGGATAACCACGCGAAGGTGTTTGCAGCCACACACACACACACACAAACATACACACTCCCTCCCTGAGTGGGAGTCTTCAGATGATTTGAGTCTGTTTCTATCCAGGATCCTGGGTATTGGAGAACTCAGTGGCTGTAATAAGGAAGCTAATGTAACTGAGTCCCTGTGTGGTTGGACTGTCTGTAGGTTGACTTGTTTGTCCATTCTGTGTCACCCTGGTTGTTGCCCAGCAAGTGGACTGGGGCCCTTATCACAGTTATTTCCCATCCCTGTGTGTGAGTTTCGGATCACTGTCTGCCTCCACCCACAGCAGGAAGGACAGGGCCCTTTCTCCTTGCTTCACTAAGTGCCCCAGGGCTAGGCGCACCTTGGGTCCTGCCTGGCCCTCGGGGAGTGGGGCCTGAGTGAGTGAAGGGGAATAGGATGGTGGGCCCCCGCGACAGGCTTGGAGGGGTCCTGGCTGACCTCTCAGGTGCTCTGGGTCAGCAGATGCCGTCTCATCCCCTTGTTTAGAAGAGACGCTGACTGCTCACCTGTGGACAGGAGTCCGGGAGTCTGCAGGGCCTTCAGCTGGCCACGAGCTGACCACAACTTGCACTCCAGTCCTATCTGCCGGGACATGGGAGCTGCCGAACTTCAGAGCTGAGAAAAGTAAACGTCGCCATAGAAACTGAATGGTCTCCTTTCCATATTTTTATATAGTGCATTAAAAATGAGCCCGAAGAGTTGCCTAGAAGACTTGAGTCAGTCCTGGATCATCCAGTGCCAGATTTTAGCTCAGCCTGTTCTGTCCCAACTCTAAGCCCTCCCTTGGGGAGCTTGGCCCCTCTCCCACCTTCACTGTGAGTTCTTTTCTCTCTAAGGAATACAAACTTCTTTGCTGGAGACCTGGAGCATAACTAGGACACTGAGTGATCACGTGGCCCTGAGCCGGCTACTTTTATCAGGCAGCTTCCAGGTTCAGGCACCGTGTGTGGTTTGCGCATTCAGCATCTGGTATATCCCTCACAGCAACCTGTTTCTCCTGTATTGGCTTCTCCTGGGATAACCACGCGAAGGTGTTTGCAGCCACACACACACACACACAAACATACACACTCCCTCCCTGAGTGGGAGTCTTCAGATGATTTGAGTCTGTTTCTATCCAGGATCCTGGGTATTGGAGAACTCAGTGGCTGTAATAAGGAAGCTAATGTAACTGAGTCCCTGTGTGGTTGGACTGTCTGTAGGTTGACTTGTTTGTCCATTCTGTGTCACCCTGGTTGTTGCCCAGCAAGTGGACTGGGGCCCTTATCACAGTTATTTCCCATCCCTGTGTGTGAGTTTCGGATCACTGTCTGCCTCCACCCACAGCAGGAAGGACAGGGCCCTTTCTCCTTGCTTCACTAAGTGCCCCAGGGCTAGGCGCACCTTGGGTCCTGCCTGGCCCTCGGGGAGTGGGGCCTGAGTGAGTGAAGGGGAATAGGATGGTGGGCCCCCGCGACAGGCTTGGAGGGGTCCTGGCTGACCTCTCAGGTGCTCTGGGTCAGCAGATGCCGTCTCATCCCCTTGTTTAGAAGAGACGCTGACTGCTCACCTGTGGACAGGAGTCCGGGAGTCTGCAGGGCCTTCAGCTGGCCACGAGCTGACCACAACTTGCACTCCAGTCCTATCTGCCGGGACATGGGAGCTGCCGAACTTCAGAGCTGAGAAAAGTAAACGTCGCCATAGAAACTGTCTGCTTAATTGGTTGAACTTTATAATGGCCCTCCTGGAGAGGCCTTGTGATCAGGAGCTGTTTTCTCTCAGGTCCTGGGGGTGGGGAGTCTGCTATGACAGCTCAGCCTCTGATATTCTTGCCTTTCCTGCAGGGAGGACCTGGCCTCCTGCTTTTCCCTTTTGTGTGTGTGTGTGTGTGTGTGTGTGTGTGTGTGTATGTGTATGCGCAACCATGTTTGTGTTGTGAGGGTGTGTCTCTCTATCACTGTGTGTGTTGGATGTGAATAAATGCATCTGTTCCTAGCTGAATGTAGGTCTGTGTGTGCATGGATGATTGTGCATTTGGTGTGTGTTCATGACTGTGTGTTTGCAGAATATCCGTGTGTGCACATGGATGTCTGTACATGTGAGTGTGTGTCTGTGTGCACACATAGCTGTGTGTTGGGGAGAGTGTGTTGGTCAGTGTATGCCCATGTGTGTGTGCCTCTGTCAGTGTGTGTTTGTGTGTGTATTCTTGACTGTGTGTGCACTTGAGTGCTTGCAGAAGTGTCTGCATCAGTGTGTGCCCACGAATGTCGGTACATGTGAGTGTGTGCGTCTGCGTGCACACATAGCTGTATGTTGTGGGTAGGGTATTGATCAGCGTGTGTCTGCATGTGTCTCTGTGTGTGCATCTCTGTGTGTAAGTGTGCTTGTGTGACCCCCCCACCCCTGCCCACAGAGAAGATGATGGTGTGTTGCACTCCCCACCACTCCGCATGTTGATATTATCACTTCTGCTTCCCAAGTCTGGCAGGAGACGCAGAATTAAACACAGACGCTCTGGTGCCAAAACAAAATCGTGAAAAGATTTGAAGCCCTCGTTCCCTAAACTTGCAGCCTATCAAACTGGGAACAAGCCTGGCTTTGTTTTATTTCCTGCATTGAATGGGGGTAGAACAGTCTGGAGCCACATTGGTTCTGATAGAAGAGCTGACTCAAAGCCAGGGAATTTAAAATTGCTGAAACCCAAGGCAGCATGGAGACAGCAAAATGTGATGAAGGGAAAAAAGCTTATATGGGAGGCGGGGGGGTGGGGGGGGAGACATTCTTACCTCGGGGTAGGGATGAGGAGAAGTGGCAGTCCAGTTTTTGAGAAACATAGAAGTACAAAAAGAAAAAAAAAGTTGGTTCAGGCAAAGAAACCCAGCGAAGGTCGGCACTCTGATCTTGATTTGCCCTGCATCCAGGGCCAGCTCCGTGGGTGGTACTAACAGTGAAAGCCGGCAGAAGGAATCGGGTCCATTTAAAATTGTTCTCTTGTCCAACCCTTCATCTCACCTCTGGGGAGACGACGTCTAGCTGGGAAGCCATGTCCTTGGGTCACAGGAGTCTGGGGTGTCTGGCTCCCAGCCCAGTGCTCCCTGCCCCTTGGGGTCCTAAATGGAAGGTGAGAGCTGGCTTCACCCAGGATCTCTCCCAGCTTGCTTTGCTGGCTCATTGCTTCTCTTTCTGGAAACAAGTTTTTATCTTCTATTTGGAGCCTCTAATCTTGCACTGGCCTCACCTGAGTTTTCTGGTTTTTACCTTAATCATAAGGTTCTGCAGTACTGTATCAACCAAGTTGTGTTCTCACCAACGAATAAAGAGTCTTTTTAATCCCTTTATCCTCTCCAAGGGAATTGATGACAATGGTTCCCCAAACCTACGGATCCCAAGGTGGCTGACCTCCAGGTCAGTGAGAAGGAAAGAAGTTTGTGGGAGGGTCAGGAAAGGCCACAAGAACAGAGTGTGTGGGGGGGAGGTCAGGGGTTAAGGGAGAATAATTCTATTGCCGGGGGTGGGCATACGGGCCTGCTGGAAGAACTTGTCAAAGGCTCATCACCAACTCGTGTATCGCAGATGGTTACCCCTGAGGTTTCACTGGTGGCTCAGCTGGTAAATAATCCACCTGCCAATGTAGGAGACCCAGGTTCAATCCCTGGTTGGGAAGATCCCCTGGAGAAGGAAATGACAACTTGCTCCAGTATTCTTGCCTGGAAAATTGCATGGACTGAGGAGCCTGGCAGGCTACAGTCCATGGGGGCACAAAGACTTGTATATGATTGAGCACACACACCTAAGGGAGTATCCCTGAGGCCATGTCTGGCCCAGAGCCAGGTTCCTGCTATTGGGCTGGGCCTCTCTCCCTAGAGGTCATCAGGCCAGGGGCATGGGATTTCTCCCACTCTGCTCCATCCCTTCCTCCAGGCTCACCCTCCTGGAGCGGCCAGCTCTGTATAGAAGCCTAGCCCTTCCCAAGAAGAGGCCCTTGCTCTGTTCTGAGAGCTGCAGGCTGTGGGTGTTTTAGCCATGACCACATCAGCTGCTGACTTCATCACCCAGACTCCATCCCATGGGCACCCCCAACAGTTGTTAAAGCCCAATGTCTAATCTGTCCTGCTTCAAATGATAACTCTTCCCTCTGTTATCTTTTGCCAAGAAAACTTTGAATTATAAATCTCCTTTATTGGGGCTTGTAAAATGAATTGGGATATGTTCATGGAGGAGAATAGTCTGTAGCTGCTAAAAAGAAGGGGGTGGATTTATGTAAAGGATGACATCCACAATATTATTTCTGATTCTTTTCCTTTGATAAGTGAAAAAAGCCAGCTGTAGAAGAGCAGGGATTGCTTGATCCTGTTTTTTTTTTTTTTTAATTACATAATGAGTATATGTAGACAGAAAGCCTAAATTGTTGGCAATAGTGATTT